GATGCCATAAACTGCACATCAACAATCTAATGTTTTCCCATCAGGCCGCGGTGCATTCATTTATCCTGATGTCCACGCCTGCAAACACACAGCAGGCTGAGGCTGCTTTCTGCTCTGTGTTTACCTGCTGATATATCAAATAACTTATAAATCTGTAATTAAGAAATGACTGATAGCAGGGTGCTCGTGGCACAGCGCCCCATGTTTGGAGGCATTGCTCCTCCAAGAGGGCGGCCCGGGTTCAAATCCCACCTGTGGCTCCTTTCCCGCATGTCATTCCCTACTCTCTCTTTCTGATTTCCAACTCTATCCACTGTCCTGTCTCTCCATTAAAGGCACAAAAAGCCCAATAATAAATCTTTTGAAAAAAAGAAAAAAAAAAAAAAAGAAGAAATGACTGATATCAAATGTTCTCTTCTGCCCTCTCTCAGGTGGTTTGGTGATGGGAACAGGCATCGAGTCGTCCTCTCATATTTACGGGTTGTTTCAGCACATCTGTGTCGCATTTGAGCTGGTTCTGGCTGATGGCAGCTTAGTGCGCTGCACTGAGGTCAGTATGTGTGATTTATCAATCTATCAACTTTTATTTATAAAGCCCTAAATCCCAACAAAAAATGATCTCAGGACACACTCTTTGTAATATTACTGTTAGAGAACGAACACAGAGAACAAACATTTGGCAACAGTGATGAGGACATACTTCTTTTCAACATGTAGAAACCCAATCATTTAGACCAGTGGTTCTCAAACTTTTTAGACTGCGTACCACCTCCGAAAATATTTGGCTCTCCAAATGTTAATGTAAGCCTACATTAACAGAATATCTGTTAATGTGGGCCTACATTAACAGAATATCTGTTATTGTAGGCCTACAGCTGCTTGCTGTTGTTTCAGTACTGAACTATAACAGAATATCAAGTGGAACTTGAGGCGTACTCCTGTTGTTGTTTATGTCTGTGTGCGTGAGCATAAATTGAGAAGATTAAAGTTGTTTGTTGCAAAAACTAGATTAATTTAGAGGGGAAAACACATCTGATATAAATACAACCCAATAGATACAAGCTAGATAAGAGTGCGACAAAAAAAAAAGTCGTTTTATGCTGAATGGGTTTGTCTTTTATATTGTGGAGATTTCTTTGCATACCACCACAGGGAGCCCACGTACCACCGGTGGTACACGTACCATAGTTTGAGAACCACTGATTTAGAGGGAATTATTCCTCCCCATTTTTACAATAAATCCTATCAAAAAAATGACATGAAAAGTGTGAAGCATGTGTAGAGGAAAAAAACTCATCTTTTGACCCCATCTCCCCCTAAATGAGCCTGTGACTGAGAAAGAGTTGAACTTGTGATTCAGGCTCAAAGTGTCAGTGTTTGGTTTAGCAGTGATCGATTCTGGGAGGTTTTACAAAGATTTATTTGTAAAAGTCAATGTGTCAGACCAACATTACAAACCGTGGAGAATGAGACCACAAAACTCTCTCTCACAGTGATACATTTTTCTGTCTCGCAGGAGGAGAACTCTGATCTGTTCCACGCTGTCCCGTGGTCCTGTGGGACTCTGGGCTTCCTGGTTGCAGCTGAGATTAAAATAGTTCCTGCTAAGTCCTGGGTGAAGCTGCGATACGAGCCGGTGCGAGGACTGGGGAACATCTGCAAACGTTTCGCTGAAGAATCGGGAAACAAGCAGAACACGTTTGTAGAAGGTCTGCAGTACAGTCTGGACTCTGCTGTCATCATGACGGGAACCATGACGGATGAGGCAGAGCCTGATAAGGTGAGGTGTTTGTGTAATGCACCTGAACTCCTTTTAAGACAATTTCAGGACATTCAGGTCCAGAACATTTACAGCGGTGCCTTTAAACATGTTCTTTTCATTGTGAAATTTAGTGTTGGGCGTGCTCTCACAACCTTAGAGTAGTCAGTTTGGATTAGATGAGGAAGGGGGCGAATGTGTAGAGCGTGCAGGAGAAGGGGAGTTCAGTAACAGCGTCTCTGTGTTAATATCACTACAACATGTTTCAACAACACAAACATAGCAGTAGTAATACGGACAGTGGGGAGACAAGTGGAGATGGCGACCGCCATTGTTGAGTTTCAAATGCTACGTCCGTGTTTTATTCAGTCTGTGGTCTACTGCATCCAGCTCGTACAGACTTGTCTTTAACTGGGTCCAAAAATGTGATAATTCTGCACATTTTAGGTTTTGTAAATTGTCAACCTGCCTCTTTTATTATATATTTTAGAACACTGTCATTCTCTTTTAGTTCCCTGCCTGGCTCTGCACCTCCTTATATCTAATAGATCAGACTCTCGAAAGCCCTGCCTGAAGAGAGCGAGCATTTTAATCACTCTAAAGCTTTTGTTTTCCCTTTCATCTGTTTAATTTACTTTTGTCTTTATTTCGATTATGCTCTCATCTCCACATTTGAAAGTGCCCCTGCTAAAACTGCAAAGTTAGTCACTCTTTTCCATAACTTTGCTTTCTCTTTTGCACTACAGCGTTGTTCATTTTGTTGCTTTTAATTGAAGTCCTTCCTTTTATAAAGTTATTTTTGGTCTGAATTCTCCCGTTGATATCAGATTAACAGGATCGGCCTGCACTTTAAACCCTGGTTCTTCAAACACGTGGAGAGCTTCCTGAAAGGTGACGACACGGGAGTGGAATACATTCCTCTGAGACAGTACTACCACAGACACACACGCAGCATCTTCTGGGAGCTTCAGGTACACACACATGCACAAACACACACAAACGTCAGGATTAGATTAAGGGGGTGCTTTTTGTGCCACATTTTAGCTTGTCATCATCTTATCAACTCCTCACTCCCTCTTTTATTAGCACTCTAATGTTCTTTGTCTGACACACAAACACACATTTGTACTCACACAGACGGACACACACTGATTTTGTTAAAACATGAGGGCCTGTGTTTTATGTCCATTCATGTTTGTAGAAATTGATCTCACACACACACACACACACACACACACACACACACACACACACACACACACACACACACACCATTAGCCATTAGTGAGAAAGCCCGACATCCTCTTACCTCTGCAGTAGTAAAAGTTGTGATGAATTATGCATGGTATCAGTTTGACAGATGTCTGCAGGATCTGCTTACAGCATTCTGATGCTCTGCTTTTTGTGGAGTTTAGTTGTTTAGTCCTTGCAGAGAAGGAAGCCTGCACACGATGAGTGCCAGAGGGTGGAGGCCGCCCTCTGGTGGAGCATTATCTGTTTGAGAAATTCTTGAGTATTCTCGCCAGAGGAATAAATGGACAATTATCCACCAAATCACTAAAATATGTCAATGTTTTTTTTTTTTATTTGTAATATAACCAGGCCTAAATCATCTGATGTGTAACAGAATATTGGCTGTGTGCTTATCAGTTGTTAATGAAAAAAAGTCCATCACAAATTTCCAGAATGACATTTGAAAATGACATCTGAACAACAATCTAAAAAGAAACAATTTCAGTTTTTAAAAAATCATAAAAAAACAACAAACCTCATATCAGAAGCTGAAATCACCAAATATTTCTTATTTTCTTGTCAAAGAAAGGTTTAACTATGTTGGATGTTGTATAAACCGATGTGTGTATATTTGTGTCCTTCCTCTAGGATATAATCCCCTTTGGGAACAACCCGGTGTTTCGTTGGCTGTTTGGGTGGATGGTTCCTCCTAAAATCTCTCTGCTGAAGCTCACTCAGGGAGAAACCATTCGACGTCTTTATGAGCAGCACCACGTGGTCCAGGACATGCTGGTACCCATGAAGAATCTGCAGGCTGCAATAACACGCTTCCACGAGGACATCCACGTAAGACTGGGACTGCTAAATACTTCATATTTAGAATGCATGCAGCCTCTTCATGTGTATCCTGTTGTTTCAGGTGTATCCTCTGTGGCTGTGTCCATTCCTGCTCCCCCCCGGCAGGGGGATGGTTCACCCCAAAAGTGGGGAGGAAGAGCTGTACGTGGACATCGGGGCTTATGGGGAGCCGAAAGTCAAACACTTTGAAGCTAAAGCATCGACGCGTCAGCTGGAGAAGTTTGTCAGAGACGTGCATGGGTGAGTGAATGTTTGGGATTAAGCATCTTTATCTCCAGTGTTTGGAATAGAACGAGGGATGGACATGAATAAATATCAAGGCTTCATATATTTAAATAAGAGCCTGTTCGATGTAGTATAGAAGTTATTATGACATGTACTTGTACTGACACATCTTCCTGCTGCAGCTTCCAGATGTTGTATGCAGACGTGTACATGGACAGAGAGGAGTTTTGGGAGATGTTTGATGGTCGGCTGTATCACAGACTGAGAGACGAGCTCGGCTGTAAGGACGCCTTCCCAGAGGTGTACGACAAAATCTGTAAATCTGCACGACACTGACCGTCACAGGAGCCTCAGCAGCAGGTTGCTGGACGTTTCACAAAAAAAAAAAAAAAAAAATTGTTTCACACAAAGATCTAACTAGTTATTTTTATCTGAAGTGAAAATAAATATAGAACAGTAATACAAGCTTAAAGATCATGTTCTTTTGACAACCACACATTGTCTGAAGAGATATCCATGTAAAGCTCAAGTATGGTGATGCTTTCAAGTGATGAATGTATGCTGTCTCCCTTCTTTCTGTTTTAAGCTTTTATTCAGCCATGAGCTGCTTGATTCCAAACCCTCTGTAACTTATACCACTGTTTTTCACAACTCATCACTAGACTTGTATTGGAGCACTGATGACCTGGACTTTGAGTCAAACTTGAGCATTTACTGCATTTGGACTCGGAGGATGAAGAGGAGGGCTCCATCTTTTTATTTTATTGAGACTGTGTAATAGTTTTATTTTATTTTTTTAATAAGCTCTGATCATTTATTCAGTTTAGAGTCAAGGCTGACACGTAAATGACGATGGACATGAGGTTTAATATCCCTCTTCTAGTCTTCTGACTACTTAAAGCGCTTTTATACCGCAGGTCATGCCTACCCATTCACACACTGATGGCAGAGGCTGCTATGTAAAGCATCCATCAGTATTAACTCATCCATTCATACACATTTACATGGCTCAAAACATTTCATGGGGTCCAGCCACGGCCGGAAAAACCTACAAATATAGTGCAAAGTCAGTACGCAATAATCATTTATGTTCCGTCACTGCATCAATGCACAATCGTCCACATCGCGATGCGTCATAGAAACGGTTGATTTCGACACTCTTACTGCACACATGGAAACATTTACTGATTCTGTAAACAGCTTCTCTAATCTTTTAATATGAAAAGTTGAGGAACACATTCATTCAACAATACAACACGTAAAGTCATCTTCTGGAAAGCTTGCTCGGCTCAACATGATTACATTTTATTTGTCTCAGTTTTAACAATATCACACCCACTCAGACTGAGGTACAGTATAAACATGAAGACTGACAGATAATAGAGAGTTGAAGCTCAGATAAGAGGGCCAGGTGGAAAAAAGAAGCTCATCTTGGAACTCGGCTCAGACAAATTTAAGAAGACGGACTCAGGGAATGGGGACTCGACTACAACACTGACTATAACTCATGTTACCTTCTAACACCATGTTTTCTTTTTTTTCTTTTTTTTTTCTATTTCACTAAAGACCTTTTTGTAACTTTTTCTGCAAACCTTTAATGAACAGGTCAGCCTTTTCTTTTGTTCCCCAAGTGCCATAAACAGAAACTGAATCTAATTTGTAGGGTTGCTAAAGAAACTATTTTTAGAGCATGTCTTTGTAACGTATATTACAATAGTGAAATTGTTCACTTCTGCTTCACAAGAGTTATATTCTGTGAAAAGAAGATCAAATCATGATGATGTAACATTTACAAACATCTAGAGATAATTTGTCTTCAGGGCACGTTTGCAGGAAAGCTGAACTATTTTTAACATGGCTGTGTCTCTGATTTTAGAGATTTCATTAGTGGACATATTGAGATTTAATGAGATTTGAAATAATTGTGCAGCCCTACAAATTAGCAAAGGACACATTTTTTAGACAGTCTATACACTTTAGAGATACATGTGTGATTCATTTTAATCAAAGGAAATAGTATTGTAACTCAAAGGTTTCCAATTTTGTATCAGCCTGTTCATAAACAACATTGTGGAAGAACTTCAATAATCTGTAAAGCACTAAGATCATAGATGTGATTATTTCTGTGTACAAAAATCTTGTAGTTCTGTTAAAAAAAACAAAAACAATAAAGAGGATGTGATTCATCTAACTCTTAAAGTGTTCTGCTTGAGAAAGACTGTCAGAATATTTGAGGACAGGGATGATCATTTCTTATTTAATTTAAAACAGGGACTCGCTGCGAGAAGAAATAATAGTTTTAGTTTTAAAATGGGAGTTTGTAGCAGCATATAATCGTCACGGGCCGCTGCCGCCTGTACGTCCTGAATGTTTCCTGCTGCATTCTCACATCAGCTCACCTTGACTTGGAAAATGTTCCATGTTCCATGGTGCATCTCTTGATGTTCCATCAGTGTTTGTCAGGGTATTGATTGTTTACACTGGAAAAGTCTGAATTTTTATGTAAAAGATCAAATCGGAAGTAATTTTGGGTTCACACATTATATTCATCATTAAGGACAGAACTTTCAATGTCAATCTTTAATAATTATTTCCTAAACAAACATTCATAAAAAAAAAAATACATTTTGATAAATGTAAAATGTTAGTATTCTTCAAATTAAAGGCTTTTTATAAATGTATAAAACACATTTTCTTGATGATCATGGACACTTCATTGAAAAGGGACTTTTCACCTTTTTTTTTGTCTCTCTAGACTTTGCTGAAAGACAAATAAAAAAAACGGTAACAATCTACCACTTCTTCATTGAACAATCTCAGAATAACCCATCTGTGTTCAGGGGGAACCTGTTGTGCCTGTTGTCGTTGCTGTTCAGACTTTTTAAAGCACATCGGACACAGACGGTCCGCCTCCTTCTATAGTTACTGTGCGTTCAAGTGCTGTCTGAATAATCGGAAAAATATGTTTTCAAATTAAGTCAGAACAAGAAAACCAAGTTCGAATACATTGTATTCTTTTTCTTATGACATTTAAAAATTGTTGAACAAAGTAATGGTAGCTTTGTGGTAAAATCTTAATTGGCTTATTGTGATAATGTACTTACTCCCTTACATTATATAGACTAATGGGTATATATTGTCAATGCAAGTTGCTGTACAGTTACCATTTCGTAACAAATATTAGAATACATCTACAAATTAGTAAAGTGACTTTCTAACTTCATGCTGCCTCCGTGTGCGCCTTGGAAATGTCCTACTTCCCAGTTGTGCAGTCGTAATGACGACATACACATATTCAAGTGCTCTGGTTGGAGAAAAAAAAGCAACAAAGTAGAAGTAAGGTTGTTTTTTTAGTGGCTGCTGTTTAATTATCAAAGGGAGAGAAAATATGGCTATTTTTATTGTTTTAAAAATACTCAGATAGGCCTACGGCTTTATTGAAATATATGTGGCAGATAAATGGCTGAATACTTTCTTGGCTAGCTAGTTTTATTATTCAAATTAGGCTTGTTAGGATGTGTGTGTGTGTGTGTGTTATTCCTGTTCCTGTTGTTTTCAGTGAATAAGGCCTTAAGTTGTTAATATACTGGCCTGGCATGCGTCATGGTTAAGAATTTGCTATAGCTGTTGCTCAGTTGGTAGAGTCCTTTGCCTCTGAACCAGAAGGTCAAGGGTTCAATCCCCAGCTGAGCAACATGTCCAATGTGTCTTTGGGCAAGACACTTAACCACGAATTGCTTCAGTGGTGGTGTATGAATGGGATTAGTTACTTCTGATGTATGATACTACATAGCGATCACTACCATCAGTGTGTGAAAGTGCTTTGAGTAGTCTGAAGACTAGAAAAGCACTATTTAAGCTCAAGTCCATTTACCATTTACAGCTAATAAATGCATATACTAAAATGGGCAACTAATAAAAATATGATGGCTAATATGAACAAAATGTATAATTTTGAAACGTGAATTGTTGACACTGTTTCCCAACTTTCTGACATTTTGCTGCCCTGAAACTTCACATAAGTAAGTTTCAAACTTCGGTAACTTCGGTAACACTTGCAATTTGGACTTTGGGGGGGTTTGTATGCTCATTACTCGGTATTACGGTAAATACGATATTTCCAATGAGCACATGAACGCAGCATGAGACACTTCGAGCATCTGAGGAGAACTTGAACGCAGCATTAACCAGTCAGTCAGCAGTGGAGGTTCATTTACTGTCAAAGACTTCTGCTACAAAGTGTCCGGAGACTGTAACAACACAGGTGAACTCCTCAGTGAGGTTTGACTGTTCAACTCAGTTTTTAATCAATCAGTCTCATGTAGATTTGTTTGGTTGACTTGATAACAGTGAACTGAAGAAACTCTAAAACAGGTAACTTCAGCTAACACTAGCTGCTATTTTTACCTCATGCTAAAACTACTGTGAACTAATGCGAACTAATTCTAACAAGTGGCGTAAGTTTACCGACTAGCGGAGGTGACTTTGTCGGCATGTGTTGTCGTTGTGTTGGGCTGTAACAATACGTAAGCGCTTGATGTTATTATCGTGTAAAATGAAGAGTTTTAGCAGCTTTAAGTGGCTTAAAGTAGCCGTGTGAATAGTGACAGGTAATGCAATGTGCACACCTGGAGTTTTATGTTCCCCTCAGGCTGACAGAGTTCTTCACAAGGGGGTAAGGTCACAACACAAACACCGTTTCCTTGACAACAATGCGGAAGTTTCAAGTGGGTACACCCTGTATTAAGGATGTCAAAAATGTCGGTACTTTTCGACACCATGTGTTTTTAAACGATACTTTCTCCGATGAAGATATTATCGAAAATTGCCGAAATGTATAATTTCCTGCACACTGTCTAAATTGCACAAATAGGTTGTGCAAATCAATTTGTGAATTTTAGACAGGATCCAGGAGTTTGCTTGCAACTTTTTGATTATTGGAAACAAGAAAGTTCCCAATGGGAGTCTGGGATATCTTTTTTTGTTGCCATGGAATCAAAACAGGTATATCGTATAGTACAGAAGTTTAAAATCCATACTTGTGAATACCTGACCCTGTCCTGTCCATTTCAGCTGTGAGAGAACAAAGTTGTGGAGTTTTGTGTTGTCAGAACTAAAGTTGTCATGATTTCAATTCTTTATGCTTTTTGATCGTGGAATAAATATCTAATATCCAAAGTGTCCCATGCATAGGTTTATAAAAAAGGTCTTGACGCAAAACAAAACAAATGTCCAAAATGAAATCACTTTTGGTGACATATCTGTATAATGCAAAGCAATGAAGCAGACAGATGACGATGATATGAAATGATGAGATAAGAACCGTGTGTTCCCACCACGTATGCCATCTGACTTCTTGTTCACACGTGACTTATAAACACCAAACAAAACCACCTGACAACCACCAAACCATTTTAAATTAAATGCATGATTATACACACATGAAACTGACTAGATACTACGTCTTAAATGTTCAGTCTCTCTTTATATAAATGATACAAAGTATAGAAAAGTGAAACGAAAAGGTCATATTTTAAACTGAAAGCTGCTCTCATGAGGGAGAGAGACCACTGTTTAAATTAAGACGGTGTGCAGGAGTTTGCCTGGAATCTTTGGTGATTAGGTTCATCGGGGCGGCAGTAGCTCAGTCTGTAGGGACTTGGGTTTGGCACCGGAGGGTCGCCATTTCAAGCCCTGGCATGGACCAAGTCTGGAAATTGGCCTGGTAGCTGGAGAGGTGCCAGTCCACCTACTGAGCACTGTCGAGGTGCCCTTGAGCAAGGCACCGAACCCCAGAACTGCTCTGGAGTGCTCGCTGTGGGCAGCCCCATCACTCTGACACCTCTACATTAATGCATGTCTATAGGATCCTGTTTGTGCATGTGTGTAATTCTCCCTATGTCTGTGTAGCATTTTCATTAAACAGTGTAAAACCAAATTTCCCCTCGGGAGGTTAATAAAGTATAAATAATTATTATGCAATTACAAAACAACAAATTATGCTATATAGGGTACCAGTTCTGCTGAAATAGGCCAACATCTGTTTTGTTCATGCTTGTAGTTACTATTTACATCTAAAGAGTCTGTGCTCTTGATCTCATTGTTAAATGTGTTAAATAATTTGTAACCTATAAAATGATACAGCCTGAGTAATGTTTGTTTGTACTGTAATGTTATATAAAGGTTGTCAGAATTTCCAATACTTTTCGATACCACAGGTTTTAAAGTGAGACTTCCTGTGAAGGTCAACAGACAGTGACAAACAGTCACTCACAAACAGACAGTGAAGGTACAGAAACGTTGCTCACCGTATTTGTGCTATTAAGACAAAACAAGAAATTATAGAAGCCTATTGACTTCTATTTTTTTTTTTTGCTGTGGTATTGAAACAGGTATATAGTTAGATTTTTACTAGAATGGTATGAAAGTTTAAAATTCTGGTATCATAACAACCTTAATGTCACATTAATTATGTATCCAGGGGTCCTAAAGTGGAGCATTAAAGCCCAGGTGATAGCGCAGATTTGTGGGACCAGAGTAAAGTCCAGACTGAAGGAAACATGTCCACAGATCAGGAGCCGACGTTCACAGTGAAGCTGCTGCAGCTGCTGCTGCTCTCCACCTACTGGGGGATGCAGATCTGGGTCACCTTTATTTCAAGTGAGTCACACACACTCACTCACTCACTCACTCACTCACTCACTCACTCACTCACTCACTCACTCACTCACTCACTCACTCACTCACTCACTCACTCACTCACTCACTCACTCACTCTCTCACTCTCACTCTCACTCTCTGAATGTGCCTCAGTGATTGGACTGCAGTGTGTGATCATTGCATGTGGTATTTTGATAGAATTTCCCAGAATGTTTTTCTCAGTGTTAACAGGACCTAATTGAATCATCTCCTGCAGTTTTTTTATGGTTGAATTTATACTTACATCATGAACTTGGCTCACTTATGTTATGACATAGTCACGAAGTTTATACAATTTCCAAATAGTTGCATGATGAGTCAATTTTCCGTTTTCTTTTATGATGGTAAAACATATTTGCAAGTTTCTGCTTCTGAAATGTAATGATTTAAAACTTTTGTTATTTCTGACAGTAAATGAAAAGCCACTGGGTGTGAGACAGTTGCTCAAACATTTTCAGAGTTGTTAAAGTTTTATAGACCTAACAGTTTTGTCATGAATTTTAAAGAAACACTATCCTGGGGGTCCATGTAGTTCTGATTAGTTGTTGTGTTTCTTGTGCTCAGGTTTTGTGATGGACAACCACCTGAACAGACACACGTACGGCTTCATCCAGAGCCGTCTCGTACCGTTCTACCTCCACCTGGGATCAGCCTGTGCCTTCATTAACCTCACCATTTTCGCTGTGTATCATCCCAGCGAGCTGTTGGACGACAGAGAGGCCTTCCAGGTGTGTTTGCTCCACACCACGCTGCATAAAACAGCTCAAAATATTTCTTTAACCCTGACCCTGCTGTCCTGCAGATCTTCATCTTCTTCGTGTCGGTGACTGTGGCGGCTATAAACGCTCAGTGTTCGGCCAGATGACATCAGAGATCATGGCAGACATGCACCTGATTGAGCAGGCGTGCGGTTTGGGTCAAGACATCGGGCTGTCATCGAACAGAGAAGCTTACGCCAAGCTGTGTGAGACAGACGTGAAGTACCGCTACCTGAGCAGCCGTCTGTGGCTCTACAGATTTCTGTCGTCGCTCTGTAACCTCTGCTGCATCGGCTGCAACTTCTACAGCCTCTGTTTCATGGCCGAGAACCTGAGCACGCTCTGAGACTGACACACAGCAGCCAGACTGCCACCACAAATCACTCCCTCGCAAACCTACACACTCGTTCTTTATATCAAAGTGGTAAGTTATATATTTAAGTCTGTCCCTCTCTCTGTGCCTTATTTGATACAATTCATGATGTTATGTGCCTCAGGGAATAATGAAAGAACCGCATCCATGCCCATACTTCGGGAGATAAATCTGTTTGTGCAGTGAGTCATGTGTCACCTTTCACCCAGTGTGTGTGTGTGAGCCTGCTGGCACCCTTGAGTTCTCTCTTTACCATAAACTTCAGGAGGAGGATTTTAATACTTTGTATTTGCAGGAGCAGAACCCGTTCCAATGCTCTGCACCTTTTTGTATGTAACACACAGAAAGACACCTTAAAGGACACAGCCCCACACTGATCAGTCCTGCTTGGCTTGTTTGGTTGGAGTTCTAATACCTCCTGTGCAGCGCCGTGTCACAGGTTTGTCTGGCTCTCCTTCAGCTCTCCTGCTTTCTGCAGGTATGAAGGCAGAGTTTAAACAGCTCCAGCTCATTGATCTGCATATTTGAAGATTTGTTTTGCACAGCAACAGCTCCTACGTTGGTCTCATTTCCAACAGCTTCAGTGTCTAGAGTTTTAGATCAAAATGTCGAAACAACAAAGACCATGTCACTGTGTGTTAACACAGTGTAAACGCAAACACAATGCAATACACACTTATTTAAAAACCCTTAACCTCCGACCAGTTTTAATCTATCTTAAATTAAAAGACAGTTTTGTTCATGAACATATGGAAGCTTTATTTAGATGTGAAATCATGGAAGTCCGTTTGAACGGTGTTGGATTATATTTATTTCAGTCTCTGATCATGTTGGAGATAATGGGTTTTAACTGTTGTTGTTGTGGGTTTGAGTGAAACTGAGTGTACTGCTCAGGTCACAGATCGTACAGTTAGTGGTAGTTTAAAGGTGGATTGTTTCTACATGTATGATCTGTTTTTGTATTAAAACATGGTATCTTTCACTTCTGTCTTTGTCATCTTCTTCCTGTTATCAATATTTGCTTAGGATTGCAGTAAATGGTAACTTCATCATGCTATTCCCATGGAGAGGGATATGAAAGCTTTGAATTTGAAGCATAATTCTTTTTACTTATTATCTTCAACTTTCTTACTCACTCATGTCAGGTGCCAGGCGCCCCCTATGGATGGCTGGCGCCCCTAGCATTTGCAGAGACGTGTTGATGATGCTGAGGCTGACGAACAGCACAAAGAGAGACTCTAATGTGACTGTTTACATCAGAAACTTCAAACGTCTGTCACTTTTCAAAGGGCTTCATTCAGTTTGACAGTTTAAAACATTTTAATGTTAAATTGTGTGATTGAGACATTAAGAGTTTTGAGTACGGTGGCCCTACAGGTCAACTGCTGAAAGATTTCCCTGAACGCAACAGTATTTGAGGCACTTTAGCATTGCTTTCTAATATCCAAAATTAAAAAATCAAGATATTTATTATTTAATTTTGAATATCCTACAAGAAAATGAAAAGCAACTCCAGTCCCGATTCTTTGATGTATATGTTTACCCCTTTCTTTCCAAAATAAATACATTCTGTGTAGTAGAGACAAAGAAGTGATGACATCTTATTCAGATACAAGCATCTTTAGTGTTACTCTGTAAAATGTAGAAAAATCAACATTTGGAGTAAATGACTTTGAGAGACTCAAAAGTCACTTGTATGACATGATTTGGTTTCAGGTTCTCGTCTCTCCATTACTAATAAAATGTCATCAATATAGCCTTATAAATGTTATGCCAGCCTTTAGTAGCTTTTTCAAAGCATCTCTCTTCATTTCCTATTTTTATTTGGTAAGTTAAACGTGTAGATCACAAACTGTTATAAAAGTGCAAATTGCATGCACAAGAGCATAAATATCCCAGAATTATGGGAAATGCAGTTTTAAATAACTGCGCCTGTAGGGGGGGTCTAATGCTTTGAATGAGCTGGTCGGACAGAAGGGGAGCCACTGCTCTATAAAATCAGCAGCACGTGTAGAGCTTCAGCTACAGAATATTTGAATTTTTAATTAATAGTAGAGTAATACAGAACAATCTATGAAAACGTTTGTTTAAGCAGAGGCTTCATCTTGAAATGATTAATGCTAAAACCACAAAAAACTTTTAACAGATTTTCTTTTAATGTAAAAATACAGCATTACTAGAAATCCATGGTTACTGTTTTAGACGAGCATCAACAGTTCACGAGCCGCTCCACCTACAAAATGAAATATTAGTCTAAAAAAGTAATAAATATAAAACCATGTTGATAAAAATGTAAAAAAAAAACAAGTCTTGTACCTGACTATTAAAAATTTTGAAATGTTTCTCTTTTATAATACTTGAAAAACCTGAAATATAATCTCAGGGAAGTTCAATAATCTCAAGCGTGAATGTAACAGACCACAGTCTCACCTTCAGCAGGCGTCGCTTCAGTTCAAAGTCCAGAACATCAAGAAACATAATCTACGGAGCCCCTGACAAGGACTGGAAAAAAAAACAAAACATAATAATATCTGGTGCGTAACAGAAAATAAACCATGCTCATGAGAAAATTTGATGTGCTCAAGAGAAGGTTTTACGTGCTCACTTGGAACTCTTTGAGATATCTCAGAGGAAACTCTCTGGTGCACACCACTACTTTCTAGTGATCCAGATTTAATATGTCTTAACAGAGATTTTCTGTCGCTCACCTGAAACATATTTTCCCCCCCATGTCCTTAGGCCTCCGTATAAAACAAATGATTCCCCTTTTATGAGAATAAACGAAAAGTTCTGTTAGTTCATTCTGCATAGAGCCACACTGAGCTTCCTGTGATACTGAGGGAGCAAAACGTAAACTTAATGTGGAATCAGCTCCCACACAGAGGCACACCTGACAGACCAACACACAAACACTTTGGTGTTTGAAAGATGAAGTTACATCACTGTAAGTCACAAACTTCTGCAGTGTGCACAAAAAAAGGTAAAGAAACAACAGACAATGAGCGTGTCAGTGCAGCTCTGCTTTAAAGGCATCTAAAGTTACATTCCCTGTAAACAGCAAACCAGAAAAGGCAGAAAAATAAGATTGTGCCTTTAAATAACCTTTATGTTCACTGATTCCAGCTGTTCATTATGTCAGCCCAACCACATGAAATGTGTCATATAAATACAGTTTCCCCTCATATACAATATTAAAATACAAATATTCATAAAGAAACATCGGCTAAAGTTCACCCATAATTCCCTCTGGAGGTTCGTAACCATGGCAGCAGCAGGGGAGGCGTGACGGCGAAGGTGCAAGCCGCTCCCATCACGTCCTGCTCAAATACTCCATAAATAACTTTAAGATACATTTTGTGTTCGTCAGAGTGAACATTTAAAATCCCAGTGTCTCTGTCATACGACAACCTTCCCTTGATGTCCAGCTTTCGGTGTCGCTCGCTTTGTTGGTCTGCTCCTCGGTCAGGTGATGTACGAGTACACCAGACTGCCCGCAATACTGCCCCAAAAACACACAGATTTAGGTTCTCAAAATGTTCAATACTTTATGATACTGCATGTTTCAAAACAAACAATCTGTTATTGATAATAATGAAAAGAATTAAAGGCTGGAAAAAAAACTTCTGATCTTCAGTCATACAAGTACAGTATGGAAGAGCAGTACATTCACCCAAGAGAAAAAATAGGCACATCATCTCGTAATTATGAGATCATTTCTTTTAATTACGAGATCAGAATCTCATTCATACGACAGCAGGATTGTGATAACTACGATCCAAAAATCACAGTCTCAATCTCAATCCTACTCAAAAGAGTTGATCAACACAAAGGAGGTTTGATCAGGATAAAAAACATGAATTGTTTTCCTGAATGTACCTGGTTTCATCAACCTTTATCGTTTTGAAAATGCCAGTTTCAAGATTTGATTTGGTCTGATAGCTTTATGTTCCGATTACTTCGGAGCTGTTCACACTGGTTTTAATTTCACATCTGTGACTTCATATGTGAGAGGCTATAAAAAATAACTTGCTGGATAATTAAACTTGCCCAATGTGTTGT